CTATAACATTTGGTATCTGCTTGCACTTCATGACACAGAGCTCCTAAATTTCTCCCACAGAAGAGTCTAAAACAAAGCTTCTCCTTATGGTCCAGGGACCAAACTGCTGTTACTGGTCTGCTGTGGGATAAATGTAAGAACTGAACACAAGCATTTGGAAATGTCTACAGCAATCTGACGTTGCTGGACCACAAAGGAAAACTAGTTCTTATATCATCATGCAGAGATATGCCCGGTTAACAAGGAGGTGACATCTTTCTGGAAGATGCTCTTGGTGCCTGCCCAGGTCCACCTACCCGACCCTACACCCATCCATCCCCTAATTGTGGTAGATGCTGGTGGCTAATGGCTCATGATTGTCCCCTTCTCCTAAGACTTGCCCTTGGCCAAAGGAGGCCCCCTCACTGGAAGAGGCCAGGTACAGCCCATGGCCAACGACTGACTTAAAGTGTGGGAGGGTGGGGGGTGTGGGAGAGGGGTGTGTATACAACAGCCCTGACCCCTTGCCTCGGAGCAGGGCAATGTCTACAAAGCAACATTTCTCCAAAGTAACTCACAAGATCAGGCTGGGGCTAGACTGATCCTGAAACTACACCTTTGCCCAGCTCCTTCTCTTGGCCCATCCTGCTTCCCTCACACCATTCTCCTCCTCCGAGTGTCTCCAGGAGTCACTTGCACAAAATCCCCATTCAGGCTCTGCTTCTAGAGAACCAAACCTAAGACAGCATATTCCTTGCATGGTGGAGATACTCCTTCTGCCCCTCCACGCTCACTCTCCCCTTCTCTTCACCCCACTCTGTGTCCCAGGACACTGGCTTGACCGCACCTTGTCCACCAACTCCCTTGCCCACTGGCCTCTAGTGGGGTTTGCCCAGGGGCATCACTAGCTATTGCCAGGGGATACTCTGCAGGAGCATACTGAGGTCGGGTCTTTATTTCCCTAGCTCCCTCCCAGCAGGGTTGCCATGGGTGCACTGTGTCCTCTCTACACTCCTCCCCCAGAAAAGGGTACAGAACCAAGAGGTTTCTGATGACTTCAAGGAGAGCTCAGAGGAGTGGTGAGAAGAGAGAACAGATGGTAAGTTATTGAGTAGGGAGTTACCGATGCTGTATCAGTCAGAGTTCATAGCTGCAAGCAACAAAAATTGATGCCAGTGAATTAAAGTAGAAAAGTGATTCATTCAGATGATCTGAGAAGCTCACAGAATATTTGGGAGAGCTGGAGGCTGAGGCACAGAAGCTATCAGTTAAGGAACAATGCCCCAGATCCTTCTATGGAACCTGATCCACCAACCCCTGGCCCCTGGAAACTCGCCTCAGCATTGCTGCCACACCATACTAAAAAATTATTGTTGTTTTTCTGAAATTTAAGCTTAATTGGGTGTCCTGAATTTTATCTGGCTATCCTACTAGGCGCCAAGCGCTCCAGACTGGTGGGACTTTGTTGTGAAAGCTGCATGTACTAGACCCTGAGCGCCATCTGCATCTCTACTCCACGCAACTCCTCTCAAGCCTGGGCCGTGAGGAAGAGACTTATTTTACAGGAGAAGAAACTGAAGTTGAACCCACGTTCTGTGTATTTCCAAAGTCTGTGGTCTCAGCAAGTATTCACATTTCCTTTGAGGAAAAACTCCCAAGTACGCAATTCTCAAATTTTAGTGAGCACAGACCCACCTGTTAAAATACAGATCCTTATACCCAATCCCCAGAACTTCTGATTCATTAGGGGCCCAGGAATATGCATTTTAACAAGTTCTTTCCATCCTACCCCACCTCCAGGGACTCTGAGACAGGGAATTCTAAAGACTACGCTTTGAAGCTCCCAACACAGAGACTGACACTCATACTCATTTTGCCCGAAAAATGCCCCTCTATTTCTTTCCATAGTGAATTCTGCAGTAGTAACTTGAGGGACATTTGTGTGCCCCTAGGGCAGGTCTTTTTTGGACACCCTTCACAAAATTTTCATTCCATGCAGAAGACAAGCCAATCACTGGCTTTGCCAAAAGATGGGAAACAGCTGAGTCCAAAGCTTGATGATAAATTGCAACCAATGCCTTCTTGCGAGTTTTGTGCTATTTTGGAAATGGAGCTGGGAGAGGGGCAGAGCGTAGAAGTTAAAAATGACAGCCAGAAGCCATGGGGAGAGTAGGACAAGGGGCAATTCCTCCTTAACCCTTGGTGAAGGTGATCACAGAGTCTGTTCAAAGTAATTGAAGCCACCTGCAAGTCAATGACCGAAGTCAATGACCTCAATGACTGAAGACTAAAGTAGGAGTCATTAGCAGTCTGTTTGGGAAGAATCTCCTAAAGTCACATCAGATAAGATTTTGGCTCATCAAGCACTGTCTGGGCTCAAGTTCTGAACACATGGCTGATGATAATTTTGTTTGAACTGAGTTATAAATTAAATAAACTGCAACTACCCAGCTACCTACTGAGAATTTGTTTCTTCATCTTTCAAAATGAGCTAGAACGGGAAGGTGTCTGTCATTTCTTCAATCTGATGAGTAATTTTGAATACATAATGTGACCTTTGGGATGGCTAAAGTAAGAAAATCCTTAAAAATGGTAACCCTTACATTTACTGTCAATTGATTTTGGGCAATGGTGCCAAGATATTTCAATGGGAGAAAGAATTGTTTTTTCCAAATATGTGGGACAACTGGACATTTACATGCCAAAGAATGAAATTGGACCCCTACCTCATACCATATACAAAAGTTAACCCAAAGTGGACCAAAGATCTAAATGTAATTGCTTAAACTATGAAACACTGAAAAGAAAACATAAGTGTAAGTCTTCACAACCTCGGATTAGGCAATGGTTTCTTAAAAATGATGCCAAAAGCACAAGCAATAAGAACAGAAAGTAGGTAAATTGCAGATCATCAAACTTTAAAACTTTTGTGCTTCAAAGGACACCATAAATAAAGTGAGAAGACAATTCACAGAACAGGAGAATATCTTTGCAAATTATACATCCAGTAAGGGATTCTTATTCCCCCAAACCCATACAATTCAATGATAAAAAGACAAAGAACCCAATTAAAGCATGGGCAAAGAAGCTGAATAGATATTTTTCCCCAAGAGATATGCAAATGGTAAATAAGTAAATGAAAAGGTATTCAACATCACTACTAGGAAAATACAAATCAAAACCAGAATGAGATTATCACTTTTCATCCACTAGAATGGCTATAAAAAGAGACAGGTAACAAGAGTTGACAAAGATGTGGAGAATTTGGAACCCTCATACACTGCCGGTGGGAATGTAAAATGGGGCAGCCACTTTAGAAATCAGTCTGGCAGATCCCCCAAAGGTTAGACACAGTTACCATATGACCCAGAAATTCCACTCCTCCATATGTACCTAAGAGAAATGGAAACCTATGTCCACACAAAGACTTGTACATGAATGTTCACAGCAGCATTGTCCATAATAGCCAAAAAGTAGAAGGATCCTAAATATCCACTGACTGATGGATGGATAAATAAAATACAGTATATACCTACAATAGACTGTTATTTGGCAGCAAAGTGAAATAGTGATGCCTGCTGCAACACTGGTAAACCCTGAAAACACTACACTAAGTGAAAGTGTAGTGTTTCAGTTACAGAAGGTCACATATTGTATTATTCCATTTATATGAAATGTTCAGAAAGAGGCAAATCCATAGACAGAAAAGGACATTAGTGGTTGCCTGGAGCTGGGGTGCATGGGGGTTGGGGAATGAAGAGTGACTGTCAATAGATGTGGGGCTTCTTTTTAAGGTGATGAAAATGTTCTAAAATTGTGGGGATGATTCCACAACTCTAAGAATATACTAAAAACTGTTTAATTATACACTTTAGATAGGTCAATTGTAGTGGTATGTGAATTATAGCTCAATGAAGCTGTAATCTTAAAAATGGTGAGCAACACATTTTGGAATGTTCCATTGTCTAGAGAAAATGAAGCACATTTGGATTTGCACAGTAATAGTCGAGGAGAGAGACTGACCAAGGGACTTAGAGTCTCTAAGGACAACTGCAGGCCTAGCCTCACAGTCCCCAAAGGCCCTCGGTCCTGGCGAGGAGGGCACTGGAGATGAGTCACAGGCCTGTCACATCTGCCCTTGGCCGTGGGGGTTGGTGGTAGAAAAGGCTTCCCCATGGTCCCCAGCCGCGTGCAAGAAAGAGGCTGAGAGCAACAGCTGGAATGGAAAGGACCATGAGAAGAAGCTAGGAGAGTCCCATCTGTCCTTGGTGAAATCAGGCCTGAATTCTTCTCTCCCCAGAGACACTAGGAGACAACAAACTAGCCAAGGAACTGGGAGGCAGCCAAAAGGAAAACTCAAAATCTCCCTTTTCTTCTCCCTACTGATTCCCTTAGAATCTGTCAGTGTTACCCTTCCCTCTCCTGCTTCCATCCCCTCTGTGGCACTTCCCTTCCTTGAAGCCTCCACCTCTGCTCCAGGATCATCACAGAGAAGGTTCTCCAGGGCGGGTTCGTGCCTCATCTCTGGGTTAATCACAGTGTGGCTGCCTCAACTCTGTAATCAAAACTCAGCTCTCTCACATCACAGATCTTACTGTTTCGAAACAGACTCAGACATAGAAAACAAACTTCACCCGGTCACCAGCAGGGGTTGTGGGAGGGAAGGGATAAATTGGGAGTTTGGGATTTGCAGATACACACTACTATATATAAAATAGATAAATAACAAGATCCTACTGTATAGCATAGGGAACTGTATTCAATATTTTGTAGTAACGTATAATAAAAAAGAATATGAAAAGGAATATATGTCTGTGTATGTATGACTGAAACGTTATGCTGTACACCAGAAATTGACACAACATTGTAAACTGGCTACACTTTAATTTTAAAAACCTTACTATTTCTAAGGTTTGCAATATTGCTTTTATTATCAGTCTTTCAATTAGCCAGTCATTTGAAAAATATTTATTCAGTGCCTACTATGTGCCGGGCACTATGCTGGGTGCTTGTACTCTAGTAGGGTTGCAGTCTCTCAGCTAAGTCCTCCCCTCCACCTACCTTCCTTTTCTTCCTGCCTCTCCCAGTCTCCCCAGTTCCACACCACAGAGGGTACGGAGATGGAGGAAAAGTTGAATTCTCACTGGTGGGAGAAGGAAGATAAGCATCTGAACTAGTGTTAACACAATTCTCCCTGAGAGATAGAGGGCGAGGCAAGGCAGAGGACATTTGGAAGACAACTAATCATACCCCTTCCTCATCCCCGTGGCCCAGTCTGGCTCCCACCTTCTTAATGGGGTTGAAACTGCCTCTCCAGGAAATTGTTTACCTGAGCAGCCCCAGGCACCCTGGCCAGCGGCGCCCTCACCACAGAATACTCTCTGAAGGTGACATGTTGACCCTGGGAAGAAAGCCCCAGGAGTCGGGTGGGAGGAGGAGGCCCCTCCAGTGGTCGGTGCCTTCCTTGGCCAAGGCCCTGCCCATCACGGCCCCATTTCTCGGTAAGTGAGCTTGACTGGGAAGGCTTACTTTGATCTTGTATTCTTCCCCCACTTCCTTATGTGTCCAGACAAGATATCCTTCTTGTGGCCTGGCTTCTTTCCACAAAGTCTGCAGATCTAATCAGCCAGGGATTTAGAAACACCCCAGGGGTTACGCCTCGCACGGCTGAAAGGTGCCGGCCCCACGCTAGTCTCACGGCCTGCCCTTGACTCTCGCTTAGTCAGTGAAATCGGACCTCAGGGAAACAGTCTTCCAATGCAGTCTTCTCCCTGTTTTCTTTTTGCCTTGGTTCAGTCACTTTCAGGGTGGTTCACTCTTTTAGGAAGTGGCAGCTTGTTTCCTGTTTTTTTTTTCAAAGCTCCTGGACAGTTTTTGAGTTTAGCGCAACCAGCTTCTCCAGCAGGCTCTTTCCAGGCCAGCTGTAGCTGGTACTAAGTTGTTCTCAGATGCACATTAGAAATTAGGGGACATATCCTTACTAGATATAAGAAGTATACTGGGGCCAATCAGAATTTGGAATTTAGGTCAACTGAATTGTTTTAATTCTTGAAAATTTAGATCATCTAAAGCCATCAGTCAATCCTGTAGCA